CGCTGATGCTCCGGGACTCTGGTGTGTGTGTGTGTGTGTGTGTGTGTGTGTGTGTGTGTGTGTGTGTGTGTGTGTGTGTGTGTGAGAGAGAGAGAGAGAGAGAGAGAGAGAGAGAGAGAGAGAAGGAGGAGGAGAAAGGGGCAGGTTGGCTAATTTCTGGGGCCCAGTTTCGGAAGGAGAACTTTGGATGCCTGGGGTCGGCAGCTTCCCTAGAGTTCCCTGCGGGGCAGTACAGGGAGAGTCCCCCGGGCCCCATGGACGGGAGCTGGCTGCAGAGGGAGGAGAGAAAGCCATTTGTGCTGAATCAGGATGGCCCGTGCATGGGTGGGAGCGGCAGGCCCCCGCCCGCCCTGGGAAGTGTCCTCCAGCCTCGGTGCCGCACTGGGCCCCGGAATGGAGGACTCGTGGCTGTCCATTCTCAGGGTCTAAGACAGGAGGCTCACGGCTGCCTGTGGAGAGCCTCCTTTCCACGGGAGAGGCAGTTCCTAACTTCAGGGGCTCCCTGTCCTCGGAGAGAGAAGACCCATGTAGGGGATCAGTGAGGTACCCCAAATTCTCCAGTGTCCAGTGGTTGGGAATGGATGGAGTTGGGAGCGGTTACTGTGGACAAGCGACAGGAAGGAGGGCTACCTAGGACAGCTCTCTGGACATGGTGGAAGTCGGTCCTGGTCAGATGAGGTGTTACAATCCAGCGGTGGAATTTGGTTCTTTCCTAGGGACAGTTTTCCTTTGCATGTGGCCTTTCAGTTTGGGAAGAAATGTTTAGATCTGGGCTACAAGTCTCCAAGAATGGCAGGAGGGTTTTTGGAAGCCCTGTTCACCCCACACCTTATTTCCTGCACAGCTTGAGGATCCATGGTGAGGACCTTGCTCCAATTCTAACCACTATGGGCCAACTCCCTTTCCTCCACCCCGTCCCCTGCCCGGCAGTGTCCTTTCCTCAAGAGCACGCTCACATCACCACCAGGATGGAGGGCTCAGCCAGGAGCTCTTCCTTGGAATTCCTGCATCTGTTTCCATATCTGTAGAGTGGAGCCACTAAGATTCCAAGCTTGGCCAGCTCACAGTAAGCATAAGTCTGCACAGTAATGAAGGAGGAGGATGGGCAGGCACGGGGCCCATCCTAAGGACCCCTGTCAAGTGGATTCTCTGGGCCAGGCCCTGCCCTTCTCTTGGGGACCCAAGTATCAGAAGTAACTAGAGAGCACATCTCACCATGCCGTGTCTCCTTCCCCTAAACCATCAGCGGCCGCGGAGATCCCTCTGTCTCTCCTCATCTGGTTTCCCCTGAGTCTGCTAGGAAGCCTGCTCACACTGTATCAGCCGCATGGATCCCACTTCCTTACCTGCCCTCCCACCAAACACATAGCAACAAAACAGGCCTGTCCATGCACACCTCTTCCCAGAAACTCCTGCGTTGACTGTCCACTCTTCTGCTTTGAGTACTCCTCATCCCCTTCCGCATCTGCGTGTCTATCAAGAGCCGTGGGATCTGGGCCTCTGCCGAGAACAGTGGCCCTGCTGCTGGTGCCAGCTTCCTGAACAGTTCCTGTTCAGAAAGGCGGGCAGTGAAGGCCCTGGCGAGGCAGGGTGGGGAGGGGAGGGACAGGATTGGATGACAGGTGGAGGATGGCTGGAGAACCGAGAGGCGCACAGGTGGGTGTGTGGGTGGATGGTAGGAGATTGTGGGTGGATGGGCTGGATATTAGATGGATGTTTCGGTGGATGGATGAATGGCTGGGTGGATCATGGATGCATGAACAGATGAGGGGTGGGTGGGTGGATAGAAGAATGAATGGACAAATGGGTAAATAAATAGGTGGGTAGATGGACGGATGGATGGAATAACCTACGTCCTGACCCTGTATGTGACATTAATCTGCTGTGTGATCTTGGGCTGGCCACTCCCTCCTCTATTTCTGTGCTTGTGAAATGGGAGGATTGAATTTAATAATCCGTGTGACTTTCCTAGACTTGAAGTTGGACAGTTGATGATGATTGAAAGTGTTTAGGGGTGCTAGTGATGCAGAGGCCCGAGACGGTGGAGGGAACCATATAAAGGCAACAGCTGATTGGCTCTGAGCAGCGCGCAGGACTTGGACCGTGTCTCTGTCCTGGACTGGCTTCACCCAGCCCTTCCGCCTAAACCTCCTGCCTGAGCGAGCGCCCTCCCGTCTAGGGGAAGACCCGCGTGGCTTCTCTTTGAGGAACACCCAGAAGGGTTGGAAGGGAAGGGAAGGGGCTAGTGGACCAGGAGCAGGTAGCCCACAGCCCCGCTCCTGACTCAGCCAACTTGAACTTAGCTAGTGTCTCTTTTTCTTTCTTTCCTTCTTTCTCCCACCTTCTCCTCAGCTCACTTGAGTCATGGCTTCTTCAAAGCTCCGAGACCCCGCGGATGAGGTTTTTGGTAAGTTCTGTGTGCCCTGTCTGTAGCAGTAGTCACAGCCAGAGGGCACATCCTTCCAACACCCTGGGCCCTGACCGGGAAAGGGCAGACGTGGGGCATGTGTGTGTGTGTGTGTGTGTGTGTGTGTGCGCATGTGTGCGTGTGTGTGTGTGTGTGTGTGTGTGTGTGTGTGTGTTAAGAATTAGCCCACTTTACACACAGGAGTGTAGGGTGTAGAGTGCTAAAGTGGCTTGCTTTAAAGATCACATGGCAGTAGTCAGATGTGGTGGCCCATGCCTGTACTCCCAAGCACTCAGGAGGCTGAGGCAGGAGGACTGCCTTTAGCTTGAGAGCAGCCTGGGCTACGTGGTGAAACTGTGACTCACAAAGAACAACCAAAAGATCCCATGGCTGGAGCCTCAGACGGCCCCACTCCCTGCTCCCAGCCTCTGTGCTGTACGCCTGTCTGCTACAACCAGACGATATGCGTGATCCCCTAGTCTCACACCGGAGGACACAGAACCTCACCCTAAATGGCTGTGCACTGAACTTAAGCGTAGCACACACCTAGTCTCCGTGCCCCAGAGCGGCCCCTTGATGCACGCTGGTGTGGACTACTGGCACGGGAAACAGACCCCATCAGGGCAGAGCTCCCAGCAAGCCCTGGGGCAGAAGGTGCTGGGCTTGGCTGGAGGGAGGACACCCAGGAGATGTGCAGGCCAGAGGGCTCTTGTGCCTGGACCACTCTGTGCCCCTCTCTCTCCACATCTCTCCTTTCCTCCGTCCTCTTCCTCCCTGCCATGCCAGGACCCCGGCCCGGCCCAGCTCCCCGGTGCCCCCACAAGCCCTGCCTGACCCTGGCCTGAAAGCTGTGTTCCCCCTTCGCTGCCACGGGGCTTGTCTGCCTGCACACTCCCTACTCTCTGCTCCCACCCAGCCCTTCCTGTTTTCCTCCTCTCTGCTGAGGTAGCTGGGCCCAACTTCCTGAGGTGAAAGGCAATTAGATATTCATTACTCCCACTGCCCAGGCCAGGAGAGGGAGGAAGAGGCAGAGAGGGGGAGGAGATAGAGAAGGGACAGAAGCGGGCCTTGGTGGACCAGGGCCCGGGAGAGGCCACCCCGCTGTGCCCCAAAACCCCAAGCCTTCCGGAGTCTCTCTGCTCTCTACGTTGTCCACTTTAAGATGGCCACAGGGCCCGTGTGGCCCAGAGCTGGGAGCAGAGGGCTTTTCTCTCTGGCACGGGTTGGCTAAGCACCAGGAGGAGAGAGGATTTCAGAGCGCCATCACCAGGAACCAGGAGACCTGGACGCCATCCTGACTCCCTCTGTGGCCAGACCAGACCTTTCCTCTCTGAGCTTCAGTTTCCCAGCCATAAAATGAAGGTTTGGACTCACAGTCACTCCCATCTCTACTTCAGGAAGGATATCCCACCAGGTGTCACGGTATACAGTGATCCCAGCACTCAGTATACCAGGAGGCTGAGGCAGGAGGGTTACTGCAAGTTTGAGGCCGGCCTGGGCTACACTGTGAGTTCAAGACCCGGTTCTGAACTACATAGTGAGGCCCTGTCTCAAAAGAAGAAAGAAAGAAAGAGTGAATGGATGGATGTAGCATACATGGTGGTTACAAACAAGCCAGGCTGCTTGTCTTTAACCAAGGCCAGCTCTTGTGAGCTGTGTACCCTTGGTACACTGAGGCTGTCCCGGGGGTCCCTGCAGTCCCTTGCTCCTTGTGTCCTGGGAGGTTTCACGGAGCTGCAAAATGGTTGTGCAGCACCTAGCTCGTAGAGCACAGTGAGGGGGCAGCTGTTACTACTCTGAAGTGCGCTTGGTCCTCAGTCCCTGCTGCTTCCAGGCAGGGCCTGGGGATTGTGTCAGAGGTCTGGGAAGGAGGGTCCCCAACCCCAGCTCAGCCCCAGGGTTAAAAACACAAGTGAAGCAGGTGCTGCTCAGAGAGCAGAGCGCAGCCGGGGTCCAAGGCAGCAGCTGTCCCACCGCTCTCTGCCCTTCACCCAGCCAGCAAAGTCTCAGGAGCTCCTGGTGCGAGCCGCTCTGTGCCAGGGAGAGGTTGATACTTGGGGTGGCAGCCGCTGGCAGAGGCCTGAGCCGGGCCACTGGAGGGAGGGGACCAGCCAGGTTCCATGTCTTTGGGAAAAGCCAATCAACAGAGATCCGTTCTGCCATTTGAACAACATTTACTAAGCACCCACTGTGTCCCAGGCGCTGCCCTATGCCTGTGGTGGTGAACAAAATAGAGAAGAAGCTGTCCACATGGAGCTGATGCTCTAATGGGTGGGAAAAGCGTCATTCAAATAGGTATACAGCATGCTGGAGCGTGATGAATGATGCAGGAAGATAAGAGTGGGGTTTCGGAAGGTATGGGGGAAGGTGTTAGAAACTGAGAGATCAGAGATCATTTGAGCCAAGAGCTGAGGAGGTAGGGGGGTGAATTATGCAGGAATCTGTGGCAGGAGCTGCATCAGAAGGCAGAAGAACATGTGCAAAGGCCCTGGGGTCCAGGCTGAGCTCAAGGGAGGGAGAGAGGCAGCAGCTCAGAGATCGAGGGAGCCGCAGGACAAGTCTGTGAGGCCACTGGGAAAACTCTGCCTCTCAGTCCAGGAGAGATGGAAGTCACCAGAAGGTGCAGAGCGGAGGAGTGACAGAACTGACACGTTGTGTTAGGATCACTCTGACTGCTGCTGGTGTGTTTAAAATAGACTGTGCATGAGGAAGGGAGGAGGCAGGAAGACCAGCTAGGAGGCTTTGTGTAGTCATGGAGGCAATCCTTGGATGCTGACCTGCACTGAGAGCCTCAGTACAGAGAGAGGCTTGTTGAGGTCCGGGACGTTTACATTTGCAGTCCCATCAAAAAGTGATTGGAATCCTAGCGAGTTCATTCCAGTCTACCACCACCAGGACGACGCATGGCTAGAATAAAGACCCTAAAGCGTATTTGTATCGTGGGGAGACAAGGGGGTCCTCACTCCAGCTAGGATAATAGCTAACTGAAACCAAGGCACCAACCCAGGGCTGAACCTGGGTTGTATTAATTCACGACGAGGGGCGTGGCTCGGGGATGAGTGGCTGTGAGGATGGCGGGAAGTACTAGGTAGGAGGCCTGACCTCTGCAGTGTGCAGAAAGAGTCATCTGCATAACACAATTTGAGGTAGTAGCTAATATTTTGGGGTCGGTGCTTCAGCTCTGATGTGAAATTTTTTCCTGGGAAATCATAGCCTCTTATCTTGAGGCTGGATCCCAGCTGACAGCGTGGAGCACGGCTGTCCTTCCCACCCGGCTCACACATGCTTCATGGGAGCTACGGGGCGGGGCGGGGAACACAGACCTGTCGCCTTGCTTCAAAGACTGCATACACATCAGCACCTCAGCTAGATCCATTTGCATGGCTTAAAGCCAACTGAGGGGATAAGGAAAAGTCCCAGCCAGTTCTGTACCTGTCAACACATGGAAATAGGGTCAGGCTCAGCTGAAATGGAGGAAAATGCTCTTCTTTCAAGGAGAGTGGCCCAGGTGGTCCTCTACACCCTGCACCAGGGAGGCTCTCCAGTGGGTTCTCCGCCTCCATATGCAAACATGAATGTGCGTGTAGGCACACACATAAGCAGCAGTGCATCTCGGAAAATCTCAGACACACATAGCAGCAGGAGGAGAGCGCAGGGATCTCCGTCACCCACGCATGCACCATCACCCTACTCAGCCATGCCAAGCCGGGGCAGGCTCATTTCTCCTCTATCCACCTGGATTATTTTGAACTTAATCCGAAATATCGTATCACTTCCCATAAATATTTCAGTGCTCCTAGTTATATTTCAAAAGTAGAGCCAGGCATGGTGGTGCACACCTGTAATCCCAGCACTCAGGAGGCTGAGGCAGGAGAAGCCCTATGAGTTTAAGGCCAGTGTGGGCTACACAGTGAGTTCAAAGGCAGCCTGAACTACATGGTGAGATCCCCATCTCAAAAAAAAAAAAAAAAAAGGAAGAAAGAAAAAGAAAAAGTAGAGATAACAAACTGTGGCTGGATTGGTCTCCAAGATGGGAGGGAATGACATCTAGATGACCCCTTGGGGGGGGTGTTGGCCTGAGCTACTTAAGGATAGGCTGCTGTTCTCCTGGATTCCCTGGATTCCCCTGGAAGATGAAGATGCCCACTGGCATCCAAGCGTAGGTGTCAAGCAGACGGTTGGACACAGGAGTTACCAACCAGAGCTGGGGCCGAGGACAAGGGCAGCTCAGAGACATGTGACTCTGGTGAACTGGGCAGATGGTAGGCCTTTCAACTGGGCCAGAGAAGAGAGAAGGAGCCTCTCTGAGGCACAATGATGGTTTGGGTTTGTTTTTTGAGACAGGGTCTTACTAAGGCTTCAGACTTGCAGTCCTCCTGCCTCAGCCTTCCGAAGATTACGGGCATGTGTCACCACACTTGGCTAATGGGTTCCTTTTAGTTCTGTTTGTTTGGGGCTTTTTTTTTTTTTTTTGAGACAGAGTCCAGCTATGTTGTCCAGGCTGGCCTTGAATTTGCAGCAATCTCCCTGCCTCAGCCTCCTGAGTGCTGGGATTACAGGCATGTGCCACCACTCCCGGACGATGGGTTCCTTTTGATGAATTTAATTTGAGGTGTGTGGAGGCCCCCAGGGGAGGGGGCAGGGCCAGAAATAGATATAAATGAGCAGTAAACCAAGGGTAACTTCAGGGGAATCTACAATAAAGAGAGGAACAAGCAAGACAGCTTGGGCATGAGGGGTTGGGTGGGATAGGGCAGGGAAGAATCTTTCCTGTTTGGATATCCAGGGCCACGATCAGGGTGAGGTCACTGGGGGTGCACAGGAAACAGGACACTGGTCAGTAGGTGCTCCTGTACGGATCCACGGGGCGTACCTCCTCTCCCTCCAGGTCTGTGTGCAGGATCTAGCTCGGGACCACAGGCCCCAGGATGCCAGGGACGGGCTTCAGAGGCCTGGCGGACTTCTTCCTGCCACACTGGCCAGTGGGGGCCTCTCAGCCCTGCAGCCCCCCACATGCTCAGTGGTGCTAACGCTGAACGCCACCGGAGTGAGTGAGGCACGGCAAGATAGTGTCCCCAGCAGGGCCAGTTGCTGGAGTCAGACCAGCCAGGCCGAAACCCCAGGCTATTTCCAGCTGACAGCTTCCGTCAAGTGACCTGATCTCTCTGAGCCACTGCCACTGTGGTCACTGCAGCCTTGTTCTCCAGCCCTCCTCCTCATGGAGCCCCCTCCGTGTACCCCTGGAGGTGTCACCCTGTGCCCCCCCTTCCCCTCGCTAGCAGACTCCTACCTGAACGTTAGGACCCAGATGGGGCTTTGAGCTCCGGGATGGGGTAGCCAGTGCTGTGTCCACGCGCTGCCCTGGCTGGTCTCCAGCCTGTGGTCTCTGCCCCCTGTCGCCCCGTGTGCAGACCTGGATTTGGCTGTGCCAGAGACCGCCAGACTGGACAGCAGTTTACACAAAGCCCGGGCCCAGCTACTGGCCAAGGGCCGGAGACACCGGCCCTCCCGCTCCAGGCTTCGGGACAGCGCCAGCTCCGCGGAGGACGGCGAAGGCTCCGACGGGCCCGGAGGCAAGGTAGGGACAACACACACACACACACACACACACACACACATACACACACAGCTCCAGCCCACACACACACACACACACACACACTCAGCTACACACACACACACACACACACACACACTCAGCTTCAGCCCTGGATTATCTCTGCACCTCAGGCATCCTGCATAGGAATCCTACCAAACTCTGGCCCACACCAGCTTTTGAGGAAGGTATTACCCTATTTTACAGACGACGAAGTTGAGGCAGGAGGGCTCAGTAGCAATCATACCCTAGTTAGAAAGTGAAGGCAGACCTCGCTCCACTCCCGGGACACAAAGAAACCCTCCCTCCAGGCTCTAGGAGGTCCCAGAAGTGCTCGTCTCGGGTGCACTGGATTGAGGAAACCGGTGTCCACACCCCCAGGTCACCGACGGCTGCGGGAGCCCTCTGCACCGGCTGCGCTCGCCTCTGCACTCGGGCCCGGGCTCCCCGGCCGGCGGCTCTTTCTGCCTGGAGCCCCCGGGCTTGCGCCGCAGCCTGGACGAGGACGAGCCGCCGCCTTCACCGCTCGCGCGCTACCGGCCCCTGCACAACGCCGCGTCGCACGAGG